CAGGGCTACCTGTATCAAATAGACTAAAAATACTGACGCCTCTTTGTTCACCAAACGGAAGTCATTAAGTGATTAACTGGACAGCCGCTAAATCGTCGTTGTTTTTTTTCTGGTCGCTCCTCATCTTGAACTGCAGCTACCCTGGTGGCCATCTTTCGTTTCGGGCACTGCGAATATAGGTGGCTGGTACTCCAACAGTTAATACATGCCCTATCCGGTCTCTTTGGCTGACTGCATTCCTTCATAACGTGCCCAAATTGCCGACAGTTGTAGCAACGCATTGCGCTATCACCTTGCTGCTGCCCTACTGCCATACTCACATTTAGTTTTCCCTTTGTCATACCTTCGCTACGAATTGCTACGACGCCAGGAGCTCTTCTGACCTTATCATAGGTGACCATCTTGTCACGCAACTCGTTGAGTGTGCTGCAATATAGCATGGATGCTGCCATGCCCGTCTTGTCCTGCAGTCCCTCTACGATGAATTTGACCACATCGCTCGTGGCCATGTCTGCTTGCGACGCTATGCTGCACATTGCGACGAAATATTGCAATGCGCTTTCATTATTTGCAATTTTCCGTGCCTCCAGTCGCTTTCCAATGTCCCACGCTGTCACTTTCTGCTCAAAGACGTTGAGCAATTCTGCTCGCATCAATTGCCAAGTCAAAGGCGCCACATGGTCGATGTACGCCTTCGCCGATCCGCCTAGCAGCCGCTTCGCTACTATCCAGCATTTGGACTCGGAGACACCATGGAAATTCATAATGTCCTCAAAGTTACTTATCCAACTGGTTACAGCCTGGTCGTCATCTCCAGAAAATGGACGCATCAACGCCCCAATGTGTGTCAAGTCGATGCAATCTCTCGGCGTTTCCAACTCCATAGCTTCTTTCTCCGTTTTCAATATGCTTAATTTGAGATCAGCTAAGCGCTTGCGAGAAACGTACAATTGTTCCAACTGCTGCAAACGGCGCGATTCTTCTTCGTATTCATCTGATCGCATGGTCAATTTCGAACAAGCGTTGTCTTGTCGCGGCATGAATGCTTCTCGAGCCTTCTGCACATTTTCACCATATTCTTCTGGCGCCGCTTTTACTGCGTGTTGTGCACTACGGTTGTCTCTATCTATCTCGCGCTCAACCGGGACTGCAAAAATGTGTTTTGAAAAGTGCAGTGGTGTCAACCGAAAAACTTGAAGATCCCTTTAGCCAACTCATTACAAAAGGTTCTGGTTAAGTGGGTGTTATTGTAACTGACAATGCGCATGCCATAGTTAAGGCATGTGACATTCTGAGGGCTGAGAAGGTGGAAGCGCATGGTTACCCTTTTTAAAAGTAGCACGATCGCATATAAAAAGTTCAAGATTCAAATGTTGGCAGGCAGGTCTGCTTTTTTTTGGTTTTGATATTTGAAGATCGCTCAGCAATCAGCCTTGCCACCATATAAGATACCCGATATAAAAAACAATTATTTATTTAACTTAGCTTGAACTCGAATTTCTACAAGATCTGCGTATTTTAGGGACTCCTTGCTATTGGACTGTGTTTAAAGCAAGGATTAAGTAAAAAAGTTCAACAAAATGTACAAGAAAATGATCGGTAACAGAGCGGTAAATTAACTTTATTGTGAAATTGAGCCGATTTTGTGATTGCCATTTTGAAATAATAATCACACACGGAATAGCCGTGAAACATCGGTTGTTTTTGGGAGTACCCTGTGCCAACTGGATTTACCGTCATTTGAAGCCACTGTAGGCAGACGCACAAGGCACTTTTGCTCAAACAACAGTAGCATAAACAAACGAGTATCGTTCCAATTGCTCAATTTATAGATTCCGTTGAATAATTCTAGCCAACTAAAACCTTTAGTTTTGCCCACGTAATTTTATACAGTTGAAGAAACAATTTTATACTTTACTGGCTAGTTTTTTGTCCTTGCTTTTATTGTATTTTGACTAAAACAAGGTTTAAACAAGGGCAGAAGTGGGTGGGGCGAAATTTGGAGATATACGTTTTATAGTGAGATCTAACAGGAGTGCGGATACTAAATTTGGTTACTCTAGCCTTAATAGTCTCTGAGATTTGTGGATGCCCCACATTTTCGTCCTTTGCGGGGGCGGAAGGGGGTGTGGCGAAATTTGGACACGAAACGGTCAAGGTCCGATATCACAGGAGTGTGGATACCAAATTTGGTTGCTCTAGCTCTTATGGGTTCTGAGATCCTTGAACTCATAGTTTGCAATTGGCAAAACCGACCATGAAACCTGTGTGTTAGAGAGAGACAGAGCGAGAAAGAATGAAATTGTTTTCTGGTTCAGATTTTGCACTCTAGAAGATATAGTCATCTTCTACGATTCTGCGTTTTTAGTTTTCTCGTATCGTCGAAATTGTGGATGCCACAGATTTTCGTCCTTTGTGGGGGCGGAAGTGGGCGATCAAGATCATATGTGTATGTACATATACATATTAATAGATCGGGCGCTGCGTAGCCACTGCAAATAGATTTCTTCCTTTTGGCTATAAAAATGATCCGATCTGATCCAGATTCAGCAACCAGATAGATATGGTCATTCTCTATGATTGTACGTTTTTAGTTTTCTCGTATCTTTGAAATTGTGGATGCGACCGATTTTCTCCCTTTGTGGGGGCGGAAGTGGGCAGGGCAATGTTTTGAAACATTCTCGTAACAGTGACATATCACAGAAGTCCGGATATAAAATCTTGTTGCTCTAGCTTTTATAGACTTGGAGCACTAGGCACTGATAGGAACGGACGGACGGCTCAAGGCAGACAATGCTCAATCGACTCGGAAACGATTCCTTCTGGACGTTACACACATCCATTTTCACCACAAATCTAATATACCCCAATACTCATTTTGAGTAGCGGGTATAAAAATTTTTACATCACGACGGGGATTGCAACCCCGGTTGCAAAGTAAAACTTGTAATATAGTTTTACAAGAGGGATGAAAAAGTAAAGAAATTGTCAAGAAGACCAGGTAGGAAAGGAGAAATTGGTATAAATAGAGCTGAAATTTGCAAGAATTCTTACCAGTTCTTACTCTAAACATAATGTAACAACATGTTCCACCAAAGGAATTTACCATTTGTGTACCACTCGAGAGGGGCATTCCCATGACCTGGATAGTGGACAGATCAGCTTGATCCCAAACCTCCAGCATTATGGGAATGCTCCTTTCGTCATGATTTTCGACTGAAGATTTTCGTGGCAAGAAGTGGAAGGTGCTAGCGATAGCAAACATTAACTTGGATGGAAGAAATTTCCATTTCCTCCGCCTGAAGCTGGTAATATTCATTAGACTGAATATTTGTTTGCCTTCTAATCACTAATTCGCAGGTCTTGGGATCGTAGAAGGTCATGGGCAGTGATGCAATAGACTCGGTGTGTCGTATGTGCTGCACAACATGGATATGGCCCGCGACTGATAGCCATCATCATCCTGTACATCCTCAGCTTCACAGCCAACGACTGGCAGCATACTACATATCCACCGGTGCTTGAGGACACCACTGATCCCGACAACATCACACGGGACCGGCTTACCAGGGAGGTGGCAGAGGTGCAACGCTTGGTTAAACGGGTTTGCTCCTACCCGGGGACGACACCTTTCACCACCTTGTGCAGTCTGAACGGCACGAACCTGGAGCTGTGCGGGTCGGTGATTGTTCGGGTTAAGCGGGTGATTTAATATATGGACGTTGTGCCTGCATATCGGCAGGAATATGAGAGACAACCCTATAGATTCATTCAAGCCAAAGCTGATAAAAAATTTGAATTGGCAGGAATTCAAAATTTTAAATGTAGATTTCTCATGTATTTAATTAATTATTATTTATTTATTTAATAATTATTAATTTTTTAATTAATTATGGCAGGTAACGGTCGTGACAGAATGTCCGGATGTGTAGTGTTAAAATTCTCCAATAATTCTCCAGCTTTCGGCTATTAAAATGGCATAGCCTGAATGGTTTACCATCCAAGAGCCAATTTTTGCCGAAGAACCTTCTGAATCTGCTCCAGCTCCTGAATATGGCATCAAGTACATTTCCCGGTGGGTTCACTCTTTCAATGGTTGAAAAATGCAGTTCCATTTAAAAGTGGTATAGAGGTAGGGTATAGAAACTTCCATACAGATTGGCGCACTAAATAATGGCCTAATTAGAAGTTTTTGGCTGTCTTGCTCTCTTCAAATCGGTTAAGGCTCTCTTTCTCGCCCTTTTTCAATTGGTAGCAACAATAAGTCTCATTCAATATTTGGAAGCGGTAAGTCAAAGTAAATATGGAGCCTCTGAATGCGATACGGAGTGTAGATAATGGAAAAATTAGAAAGCCACTTCTCTACCGAAGATGATGGATTCGTACAATAATTCCGTAGGTATAGATATAATTCAGCTTCCATTGCGGAGCTAGCGAGTAAAATAGCGCATATTCACGGCGAGACACACACCGGATACACTCTGATGATTGACCATCGATGATTCCGATCTAGAGCTGTGCTAGGCGCAGTCAATTCTAGACACATCCCCGAGAACTTTGTACATATTTCTACATTAATTACCCAGTTACGCACAAAATCCAATCCGCCTTAAATAAAATAATTAAAATTGAAAATTATTCTAAGGTGTCCAGGTGACGGGATTTTATTAGTTTCTTATTTAATTAAAAGACCACTTTAATCGAATGAAACCACGGCTAGATTCTGAGATTCGAATGACGGGCTGGACACCAATGAATGATAACTGACAAAATCTCGCCGCCGCATGTTAACAAACACAAAATAGTGTTACCGTAGATCACGCACTTCTGGTCACACCTGCCCAGAGCGAAATATATAAAAGATGAAAATCAGCTGCGCCAGCGCCTGAATTCAATCAATAAATCAATAATATTTAACTGCAATTAACATACCAGCTCATGTTTTATCTACAGAATCGCGTCGATCCGGACCTCGATGTATAAATGTGCATTTCTCACGTTGTCATTTAGAACGTGATCCATATTTTGAAGCCACGATTTATTTCATGCAAGTTTGTAAATGCTAAAGTCTGTAAGTAATCTTACTTACATAAATATACATATGTGTGAGTGAAAGCTTGAGTGCATAGTATGTTCATAGGTAGTTAAGATATTTAAAATTTCGGTATGAGTTTTGGGTATAAGTTGTATCCAAATTACTTGTCATGTTGCAATGGACGTGTATAACTTTTTAAAGTCGCAAAATGCTTTGTCATGTATGTATTCAGTGGCAGATTCCACCAACCTAAATTTTAATGCCATCATCAAATTACTTGCTATTGTAAAGCTACATGCAATACCATACCTATTTACATGTGTACATATGTATGTACATCCAACGGGTTTGGTTTCCTCTCATGCATATGCTTTTGGTTCGTGTGCGACTTTTCGAATACATATGTATGTATGTATGTAGATACTCGTATATTATATTCCCATATATTCATTCCTGTTAGGTGAATTTATTAAGTGAAATGTAAACAAATCGTGAACTCCTGCTGAGAAACCAAATTACATATAGCACCTGACCCCATCCCCATACATTCTTGACCATCACCAATAAATAACCAAACATGTCCGTGTATGAATATTATAGCTAAAGCACCAAATTGTTATGGTTTGTGTGAATGTATGTATGTACATACTTGTGTGATGCCCACGCAGTATACATACATATGTACGTACATATGTATGTGGTTTTTTAAATGTTTACCATGTCTTCGGCCCACTTCGGCACCGGATAATTAGTACAAAAATTTCAGAATAAAGAAAACAAGTTCCTGCTCCAAGAGATACCAGGTACTTGCAGAGCGCGCTCTCCTCTCTCCGTCTAAATTGAAATAAAACCCATATCAAAAAAAAAAGAAAATGGATAACCTTTCATTCCCAAATATGAGGTGTTAAATATTGAGTTTGGTTATAGCATCTAAATTAAATGAAATTAAATTTCTGAAAGACAGTTTGTCTTGCGACAAACAGAAGGTCGACTCCACTCAGCTGATCAGTTATTTCAATAATCAATTATGATCAAAATGTTTTTGATTAATTATCAGAGGTAATATGCATTTGCATTTTGCTTTACTTTACTAATGTTTCAATCCATCAAGTCAATATTAATTTACCTTCGATTTAGATCGTATTTTGAAGAAGCGAATAGCAGTGCATACATATATATATATATATACATACAGTGGTGCTCATACACTTAAGCCACAAGAACTACACCAAGAATTTAAGCGAATATCAAGAAAAGTTTTTATTTTACAGCTCCCATTTTTGTCTCAAATTAGTTCTATATGTCAGTGTTTTAATACAACAACAACCAAGTTATGAAAATATATAGTCAGCGAAATAATTAAAAAATCTGAAATCATCTCCAAAATATCCTGCTCATATACTTAAGCCACCTCAAAAAAAATCGTTAAAAAAGTTTAAATTTGCCCAGTATTCCTAGTATTTTTAATAAAACTACTTTAATATTTTGTAGGATGACCTTTCTGCTTAAGAAAAGTGGAGCAACGCCTTGGTATTGAATCTACAGGACGTGCCCACTGTTGATGGGTGATTTTCCTCCATTCTTCCTGTAAAATTCGGCACAAATCCTTTAATTGCTGTTTTTTTTGGGCAATGACTTGGTTTAGAATTCTCCACAAGTTCTCTATAGGGTTCTGGTCGGAACTCTGCGGAGACCATTACAAAACATTGGTTCCCTCTTGGTTAAGCCACGACTTGACTATCCTGCAGCAATGTATCGGGTCGTTGTCCTGTTAAAATATACGGGCAAGTGGCAAATTATCGGCATGTTCTCCAGATAATGTGTTACTCAGAATGTCTCTCTACATTTCGGCATTCATAATACCTTGAATCTTCACCAGGGGACCTAAGCCCGATGCTGTCCATCATGAATGTTAAAAAGCGCCTTCAATTCGCCACAGTGCATACCCACCAAGGTCCTAATTATACCCGATACTCAAAATGAGTATTGGGGTATATTAGATTTGTGGTAAAAGTGTATGTGTGTAACGTCCAGAAGGAATCGTTTCCGACCTCATAAGGTATATATATTCTTGATCAGCATCAATAGCCGAGTCGATTGAGCCATGTCTGTCTGTCCGTTTGTCCGTCTGTCCGTCCGTCCGTCTGTCCGTCCCCTTCAGCGCCTAATGCTCAAAGACTATAAGAGCTAGAGCAACGATGTTTTGGATCCAGACTTCTGTGATATGTCACTGCTCCAAAAATATTTCAAAACTTTGCCCCGCCCACTTCCGCCCCCACAAAGGGCGAAAATCTGTGGCATCCACAATTTCGACGATACGAGAAAACTAAAAACGCAGAATCGTAGAAGATGCCTATATCTTCTAGAGTGCAAAATCTGAACCAGATCGTATAATTATTACAGCCAGAATCACGAAAACAATTTCACTCTTTCTCGCTCTGTCTCACTCTAACACACAGGTTTCATGGTCGGTTTTGCCAATTGCAAAATATGAGTTCAAGGATCTCAGAACCCATAAGAGCTAGAGCAACCAAATTTGGTATCCACACTCCTGTGGTATCCGCCCCCGCAAAGGACGAAAATCTGAGGCAACCACAAATCTCAGAGACTATTAAGGCTAGAGTAACCAAATTTGGTACACACACTCCTTTAAGATGTCACTATAAAACGTATATCTCAGAATTTCGCCCCAACCCCATCCGCCCCCACAAGGGACGAAAATCTGTTGCATCCACAATATTGCAGATTCGAGAAAACTAAAAACGCAGAATCATAGAGAATGACTATATCTATCCGGTTGCTGAATTTGGATCAGATCAGATACTTTTTGTAGCCAAAAGGAACAAATCAATTTGCATTGGCTATGCAGCGCCCGACGTCACGCTCAGACTGATTTTCTGTCTCTCTCGCACGCATTCTTTGTCGTGTCGTTTAATATTAGCGGCGTCTGCCGGAGGAGAGCCATACTGACTTAGTATCGGGTATAACTGTAGAGTTGCGGTGTCCGCAGCAACTCACAACGTTCCCCCTCGTTTTTGAAATATGATTGTTTGGATCGAAAAATCCAAGTTTAATGTCTTTAGAAGTGATGGTAAACTATATGTACGACGTCCACCCAACAAATAATTAACTCCAGAATACACAAAGAAGACCGTTATGGAGGAATGGAGGAAAATCACCCCTCAACAGTGGGCACGTCCTGTAGATTCAATACCAAGGCGTTGCTCCACTTTTCTTAAGCAGAAAGGTCATCCTACAAAATATTAAAGTAGTTCTATTAAAAATACTAGGAATACTGGGGAAATTTAAACTTTTTTAACCATTTTTTTTGAGGTGGCTTAAGTATATGAGGAGGATATTTTGGAGATGATTTCAGATTTTTTATTTATTTCGCTGACTATATATTTTCATAACTTGGTTGTTGTTGTATTAAAACACTGACATATAGAACTAATTTGAGACAAAAAATGGGAGCTGTAAAATAAAAACTTTTCTTGATATTCGCTTAAATTCTTGGTGTAGTTCTTGTGGCTTAAGTGTATGAGCACCACTGTATGTATATGTATATATGTACATATATATATGTATATATATATATATATATATATATATATGTATATGTATGTATATGTATATACATATATATGTACATATACATATCATATAGCACCACAACACAATCAGCTGAATATAACCTTTGGCTCAGAGCCTACTGTTCAGGCGTTTATTGCGACCAGAAACAAAAAAAACAACCGTTAGTGCTTGTAGAAATATATTTGTGCCGCTTTTGCTGATAAGATGCTTGTCTCATTGAAAATGTTTTTAGAAATGTAAGCAAAGTCTGTACGAAATCTGTTGATGGGGCGACGACAACTATGAGCCACACTTGCACACATTGACGATTGACGGTAGACTAGACGGTTCGGTTACATTGAAAAGCAAAGTTAATTCCTTCGAAGTGATGCCACTATTTGGCAAGAAGGATTCCGGCAAGAAGGCCAAGTCAAAGGATATGAAGGAGTTAAGCAAACAAGTGTCAATTGAGGAGAAGTACAATCTTCATGGTCTTTTGGGGACGTGAGTACCAATATTTTTTATTTCACTGCATTATTGTTGCTAATTGTTAATATATGGGTTATCGTCTTCTCAACCATAGCGGTGCCTTTTCCGAAGTGCGACTGGCAGAGAGCAAGGATACTCCTGGCGATCATTTCGCTGTTAAAATAATCGACAAGAAAGCTCTGAAGGGAAAGGAAGAATCTCTGGAAAATGAAATACGTGTTCTGAGAAGGTAAGCCGCAGATCAAATAAAGTTGTTAAATTGTTAGTCAAGTGTCCATCAATCCAGTATTCCCCACAATGAAAGGAATTAATTCAAGAATTATAAATGAAGCTTAAATTGGTAACTTTTGTAGTCACATACTATTTCTGATACAATGTCTGAGCGCTTAAGTTATTTTCTTTTTTTTGCATAATAATAAGATATACTTTATAGTTATTTTTGCTTTAAAAGTTTATTATATTTAGTTTTATTTCTTACATACATATAACAAAGTTCTGATCCTAAATTTACTTTATATATGCAAAAAAAAGGAATAACTCAAAACAACAAGACTGATATTGTTGGTCGGTCGGTAGGTAGTACATTTAATAAAGATTGACATTTTCAAATATATTTCGACTCGTGGTGGATCTCAAGATCTCGTTTTTATTAAAAAGTGGCACCTTCAACAATCATTAGAGTTCTAAAACCTTCTATCTTCAACATTAAAATATACATATGTATAAATATTTTCTAGCCATTTTTCCGTTTATGTTTCCCTTTTCCTTTCCAATTTAAATTGAGTTTGTAACTCTCCGCTCTATAGCAACTCCATTGTCTGTAGGTTCCTAAATGGATATACCTGAACCAGCTAATATTCGTATATTTTTTTTATTTTCTTCGCTTAGTTGTATTATTTGTATTGTTTTTAAACACTTTCTGGTTGTTTGCTTAATTTGCTTTCTTTTCATGTAGGTTCAGTGCAAATCATTTCGATGCCAACTGTCCGAATGGAACGCGGTGAGTTCATACCCCGATCCCACACTGAACTACATGCATATGACATGCAAATGTATGTAGTACATACATACATATGTATGTACACTACTCGTCATCAAGTTAACACACCCCCTCGCGTTTGCAGTTTTGGCTTAATTCTAAATAACTAGAATCTAGTTTATAATTTTGTGAATAATTTGTTATACGAGTGACCAAAAGAGGCTTAAATACCTCTTCATTTGGTCATCGGGCTTTTTATACCCGATACTCAAAATGAGTATTGGGGTATATTAGATTTGTGGTGAAAGTGGATGTGTGTAACGTCCAGAAGGAATCGTTTCCGACCCCATAAAGTATATATATTCTTGATCAGCATCAATAGCCGAGTCGATTGAGCCATGTCTGTCTGTCCGTCTGTCCGTCCGTCCGTCTGTCCGTCCCCTTCAGCGCCTAATGCTCAAAGACTATAAGAGCTAGAGCAACGATGTTTTGGATCCAGACTTCTGTGATATGTCACTGCTCCAAAAATATTTCAAAACTTTGCCCCGCCCACTTCCGCCCCCACAAAGGGCGAAAATCTGTGGCATCCACAATTTCGACGATACGAGAAAACTAAAAACGCAGAATCGTAGAAGATGACTATATCTTCTAGAGTGCAAAATCTGAACCAGATCGTATAATTATTACAGCCAGAATCACGAAAACAATTTCACTCTTTCTCGCTCTGTCTCACTCTAACACACAGGTTTCATGGTCGGTTTTGCCAATTGCAAAATATGAGTTCAAGGATCTCAGAACCTATAAAAGCCAGAGTAACCAAATTTGGTATCCACACTCCTGTGATATCGGACCTTGACCGTTTCATGTCCAAATGTCGCCACACCCCCTTCCGCCCCCGCAAAGGACGAAAATCTGAGGCAACCACAAATCTCAGAGACTATTAAGGCTAGAGTAACCAAATTTGGTACACACACTCCTTTAAGATGTCACTATAAAACGTATATCTCAGAATTTCGCCCCACCCCCATCCGCCCCCACAAAGGACGAAAATCTGTTGCCGGAGGAGAGCCATACTGACTTAGTATCGGGTATAACCGTAGAGTTGCGGTGTCCGCAGCAACTCACAACGTTCCCCCTCGTTTACCTTTTGAGATATGAATTTATTCATACGGGATCGTAGATCCTTTTCGCAAGCAACTTTTATAAACTTGCAATATAATTTAAAGAAAAAGGTGACCAAGCACTCTTGATGCCTTTAATAAATTCTTCTTTGTTAGATTATTGTTTGCCAGGCTCGTAAACATTGCGAACTAGCTAGCCACACGCTTTCTATAATATTGATGTCGGGTGAGTAAGGTGGCCACTGTAGTAATCTAACATTTTCGTCATCAATCCATGAATTAACCACACGCACCGTGTGGATCGGAGCATTGTCATACTTGTTATCAAAGCCGAAGCTCGTATTAGTCATAGTAGTAGATGGCTCCCCACACCATCACACCTCCCTCCCGACTATAAAGACAATCTAATTGGGGCTCTTCCTTCCCAAGATCATGGAAATAGTAATTGTATCCGTTTTCGTCGGTTTAAATTACATTTATTTTCATCCAAAAAGACTACGTAGCGTTAATCAAAATTCACATTTTTCAAAGACACATTTTTTTAAAAATTAGAATCGCTATTTTTTTTGTTACTTGAAGTCTCTTCAAGGGCGTGTGTGCGCTATCCCGATGACGAGCAGTGTATGTGTCATGTATATGCACATATGTATATGCACATGTTATACTATATCAAGATGCTTAAGTGAGTTATAGAACATTGGCAAGATGATGAAGATTGAATTGAAAATGCAGTTCGGGGGAATATCAATATTGATTTACACTTTGAATGAATTTGAATGCTTGCGTCGTAGCTTTATTAATCGCACCGCATTCATCAAACACATAATGACCGTTCAACATGCATGTAAATACCTACATATAAAGTTTTTTAAAATCTATTTGTAGATTAACTCACCCCAACATTGTGCAACTCCTGGAAACGTACGAGGACAAGTCGAAGGTGTACCTAGTTATGGAATTGTATGTTTCTAATATCTTACCTTTGTTGTATGCATATGTACATATATGTATGTATTTTCTTCAACTTGGACTTTCTATAGGGTGACTGGCGGCGAGCTCTTTGATCGTATTGTGGAAAAAGGTTCGTATACGGAAAGGGATGCCTCTCATCTTATACGACAGATTCTAGAGGCTGTAGATTATATGCATGAACAGGGAGTTGTGCATCGGGATCTTAAGGTAATAAACAACCCCATTTGCAATCAATTTTTTTTTAAATTATTCTAATAATTCTTTCACTTTATGTACAATAGTATAAAAGATCGGATAAAAACTTGTCTTCTCTTAGTTGTTTCCCTATTAAAATTCATTTTCATTTAGATCTGCTCAAAATAGAATTTGCTTTTCAGCCGGAAAACTTACTTTACTACAGTCCTGAAGATGACAGCAAAATAATGATTAGCGATTTTGGTCTATCAAAAATGGAGGACTCTGGCATTATGGCTACAGCATGTGGAACGCCGGGATATGTTGCTCCAGAGGTCCTGGCCCAAAAACCATATGGAAAAGCCGTTGACGTATGGAGTATTGGAGTAATATCATACATTCTATTGTGTGGCTATCCCCCGTTTTATGATGAAAATGATGCAAATCTTTTTGCTCAAATATTAAAAGGTCCTCTTCAATTAATTATACTATACTTAGATATGGACTACACGTAAACATGTCCACTAAAAAACATTTACATTTTAGGTGAATTCGAATTCGATTCCCCTTACTGGGACGAGATAAGCGAGTCGGCCAAGCAGTTTATTAAAAACTTAATGTGCGTCACCGTCGAAAAGCGATTTACTTGCAAACAAGCTTTGGCTCATCCTTGGTAAGTGTTAACACCTGAATTAACAGGAAAATGGTTCTTTGCTTAAAGCGATTAATATTAAAACATTTCTTCACAAAACTGTAATCTATGCGGCGAAGTAAATATTTTCTTTTTCGTTAATAAAGGATCTCTGGAAATGAGGCCAGTAGCAAGAACATTCACGGAACTGTTTCTGAACAATTGAAGAAGAACTTTGCTAAGTCCCGTTGGAAGGTGCGTTCAGCTATATAGAAAATTCGTTTGGCGCTCATACAATTAATTCAATTGTTTTTATAGCAAGCATACTATGCGGCCACAGTGATCCGACAAATGCAGCGAATGGCACTTAGCAGCAATAGCAGTGCAACAACTGATGCCACTAACAATGACGGTAGCCGAAAGGACTCATCCAATCCAACGGTAGCCACTGTGCCGTCTGTGTCGACCGACGAGTCAGCATCGCAATCAACACATTGTAATATAGCAGGTTCTAGTGAGCCACCACAGGCACAAAGCCAGCCAGGTCAGGACTATCACCAAAGAACAAGTCAACCGAATTAAGATTCAAGATTTTGCCAGACCAGCATATGCTTATATTTCATTGCACAACCATTGCTGACGTCCTATTTACTAGAATTGCGACGCGACAGATTAAAACATTAATATTAAGCCACAGAAATTATTCCACTTATATGTGGAGCGATTAGTTAGATTGTTTTTGTACTGCGATAAATGATGAGGTATTTTGATTTGAACATCGGATATTGAGAAACCAAATAAAATAACACATTGATTTTGGCCAAGTATCACATTTAACCCAATTTAACTTATAAACTGTAATTGGAAATTACATATACGTGCATGCATATGTGCATATACATAGGTATGTGTGTCTCTATACAGGCGTTATGAACATGTTTAGAATACAATAAACCACTTATTGATATCAACAATTTCTCTCTGAATAACAAGATTAGCTGAAGCTAATATTGAGTGCAATATAAATACATAAGCATAATTTTTTTCAATGTTTCAACAACTCTCATGTTTTAAAAAAGTATATTGCTTAAATGGAATCCACTTATACTAAATGCATATACACTATAGTACAAACATATGTATGTATGTATACAAAATATTCTGTATAGAGGACAAGTTCAAGTCTCTTTTCCAGAGACTCTAAATCAATCAATGCCATAGCATATTAAAAAATATCATTGTTTGAGAAGTTTAATCCCACTTGAGATATTCGATGTTGGAAATATTTTAGTGATATACATACATACATACATACACATTCATAAATATACACTTAACTATATAAATAATCTACACGAGCACAGGAGGAAGGCTTAGAAGCCGCCTTCCTATTTTTACATCCACCACATTAATTTTGTGATGTTGCCAAAATCAATGGTATAATAATGCTTAGAATAAGTTATTGGCATTCTCATAAGATGAACTGAGAGTACGTGTGTTGTTGCCTTAGTTTGACTGGATAGCTTCTCCTGATAGCTTGCCATCAGTCTGGTTAAAAGTAAGCGCACAGCTTTAGTTCCAACACGTGCAAATCGGTTTCGGTGTCCAATTATAATTTGTAAAAAATCATCTGTAGAACATTTGTACATATATGTAGGTATGTATGTACTCGACTTTCGTATATTCGTAAATTCGGGGTCACACATGTGTACTCATAAAAAATGGCCAATGTCCGGATATCTATTGCTTGGTTTTTTTCTACATAATAAATCTTTATTGAACATATATACATAAACAATACAATAAAACTGTTGATTTCATGGGGTTTGTTCTTAAAATCTAAGGGCGACTAAGTCCCAGTTACTTTTTCTTGTTTCGCTTCTTTTTCTTCTCTGAGCCATGTATTTTTTTTTTAGTAATGCAAACGCGGCAGAACCAATCGTCATTGTCCTTGGGAGCAACAGTGATACCAACACAGGTCCTGATATCGAATAAAGTTCATAAGAAAATAATAAGATAAATGATATTCTATGGTTATTATTTACCAATGGTACCAAGCGTCGCAGCCGTCACAGCCAATCATTGCGGAGCCATCATCAACCTTTCCGCATGCCGGGCAAATCCAGATCCGATTACCTTCGGCATCGACGTACGATGACGGGCGATTTAATTCCACTATTTGTGGTGGACAGTCTGGGGAGTGGTTGGGTTCAACAGGCAACAGCGTCCCTGCGTTTATTCCCATTACTGAAGAAAAGTTATTGACAATCGGCTTGGACGCCAACATCAATTGTTGTGGTAACAAAACAGAGCTGGCCGAAAGCGTGGACGAAGCTATTGCATTATTGTTAGTATTCGACATCCAACCGCCTGAATTAGGAGCAGTTGGATGGCTTGTCAGCATCTGGGGCGCTATGGCAGCCAAAGATAAAGTTAAAGGCTTCACCGGACTGTTGGTCGTGTTAGAGTTGCTTGAAGGCACTGCCGTATTGCTTGATATGCTTGAGAATGGAGTTTCACCTAAATTTTTAATGTTCAAAAAATGCATTAGTCGTCTAATCATTACAGATGGTTCTATATTGCACTCACATGGCTTCGCCTTGGGTGGCCCAGTAACCAATGGGGAAAAGCGAGCTAGTTCTGGGGAATCCTCCCGTTCGCGTTCTCTTTTGCTTGGATGGCCCATAGTTGAATGTTGTGCGATACTTGCGTCCTGTGCGTCTCTATCCTTGTCAACACACGGTAGCGGTGTGGATTTACCACCTAGTTTCAGTGTAAGTTTTGGGACAGGATTTGCAGAAACCTCAAATTTTGGTGAGGTGTAGTGGGGAGCAATTGGCGAATATGCTGGTGATGATTGGATTGGAATGGATTGCATTACAGATACCCCAGAAAAGACTTCGCAACTAGAGCTACGTTCGTTAGATTCAGGCAGATGATGATTGTTTTGGAAATCTTCTGCATCAGCCGGGATAGGGTTTATTATCTGAAATGAAGAGAGAAACAGGAGGATGTCTAATCTGTATAAATTATAGATCAAGTTTTTAATTGTTGGAACGGCTGAAAATGTCTTCAGGTTTCAAATATGAAACGCTCCAAAGTAACTTAAGGAATATTTTATATTTTGTGTACGTCTATATTTTGAATTTTGTATATTATATGTATATAATAAGCTATAGGTAATAATAAATTATGATTTCTCAACGTTATATAAGCAGGCATAATTTAGAGAAAGAAACCCACCTGCTTGTCTTTCTTCTTTTCCTTCTTTTGTTTCTTGTCGGGCCCTTTGATTTTTTTTTCGCTTTTATGAATAGTACTGCCATTTCTTTCCTTTTCCTTGGATTTATCCTTTTTGTCTTTCTTCTTTTTCACTTTTCCCTCCTTTGGTCTTTTGAGCTTTTTATGAAGTTTTCGCATATTCAGTTCATCTGCCCCCTGTCCCATAGACAATGTGCTGGTTGGTGTAATTGTAATATCCTCGTAGCTGGAAAAGCTTGGCATAAACTTCTGATCCTCGGAAATATTCAGCTGTGCGGGTACCAGGCCAGAACTCGATCCTGATGTTGCGCCAGCTGACAAACTTGTGGCGGGAACCGTTTGAGAAGAATACGACAGACCGCATTCTAGGCGTGATAATGGGATGAGATCCGCACCACCAGCTAAACTAAACTTGTCGCCGCCCTTGAAGTTGGGCATATTAAATTGGGGAAAACAGGGGGTGTTGCAGGAAGGTGTTGTGTTAGCTAACATTTTAACATCTGAATGCTCAAGCTTCGATTGTTTTTTAAACTTCTTGATGGGTTCACACGAATTTGGAGAAACGGGCGGATGGAGTATGCCCCTTGAATGCAATTGAGAATCATCTATGGATGTAGCTTGTGTTGTTGCATACGGAAGAAGTTGCGGCTGTATCATGTTCGATCTGCCAAGGTTCGTCGGGGATTGCCTTGGAACTAATTGTTTCTTATTTTGTGTTGATTCATCAGAGTCATCTGACACCTCAATCGGATCACCAAGATTGCCGGTAGCCTGTGTAGAGGTTTTCGTCTTTAGTTTTGACACAGCTTCTGCACTAGTCAGCCCCGTGGTAGCTCCAGTTACTGCTCCACCTGCATTCAAATGCATTACAAATGTTCTTCCTAAGAGCATGCAATCACAACTCACCTACACTAAACTTCATGGACTCTGGAACCAGTGGAGCAACATTGCAATAGTTTCGCTCCGTCTGAGAATCAGTTTGGTCGGAGGGCACACTGAGAAACTGGCCGACTTGATCTGTTTCTAGGAAACAAATATAAATAAACGAGTAATCATAATTGATTCGTCCTGGACGACGTACCACTAGTATCAACAGCGGATGGACGGCAAACGGAATCAATAACGGCTCCACTTGTTCCTGAGAAGGGCATGAATGGTGGCATGGAAACGCTATTTCCATACCCGACCAGACCAGCCGTCGCCGGAAAAAGTCCTGGCCCGGAAGGTATCAGACCTGGTCGTGGCGGAAAGTGTAAAAGTGGTAGCAGTGGCACTATTCCCGTTGGATTGCTGGGATATAAAGACGAATGTGGCATACCCCCGCCAACCGCCATATATTGGCCAGGACTAGGAATAATAGCACTGGGATTAGTAGCATGTACAGTAGGTTTCGTCCGGGAGGTATTCTCGATTGAGTGACCATTGTAGCCTATTTCCTTTTCCTTCTCATTATCGGGCAATAAAGAGTCATATTTTGTTTTGTATTTCTTTCGTTCCTTTTTCTCTTTTAGCTTACCTTGTGGTACATTACTCAAGTTAAGGGGCTCCGTTGGTATATTTATAGGGACCAAACTGGGATTCATCAGCATTGCAGATGATGACACTGAGAGCGAATTTATATTGTTTTGCTTGCCCTTTTTCATTGATTGCATTGCAGGTTGCGGCACCAGCTGAGATGCAGTGTCATTGGCCGAGTGATTGATCTTGGTTTGATTTTTGCCACCTGGTTTTCGTCCTCGCTTCTTTGGCTTTGCTGAATCTATGATTAATAGGTCAACAGTTTCTTGAGTTGATGGTGGTTGTGGAGTTGGCATCAAAACGCCGTAGCTAGGTATCGTTTGATGAGCAACTGCTGAAATACTGCTTGCCACATTCATGTGTTCCATACTGAGTCCCAGAGCTGGCGCTGGTGTTATGGTCGTTCCGGATGGTAAATAAATCAATGGTGGACTGCTAGCAGTGCTTTCAAATAGATTTACTGTCGTACCTAGAGTGCCCGATGGACCTGATCCCTCTAACCTTGGCGTTTTTGGTTTTGAAATTTTCTTAAAAATGTCCAATTTGTTACGTTCTGGCTCGTTGTTATGCTTCTTTGTTGCTGGTAGTCCTATTTGCGGTCCCAGGGTTCCCACTGCCTCCGATGCAGGTCCTTCTAATGGAAATTCGTCATGATTCTTCATATGTGCGCCTACAGTTATCCGACTATCAGCATTACTTTTGAGAGTAGTTTCTTCGTTACTTTTCGCTGTAGCTTTTGAAGTCAGTGGAGTATGAGCATGGTCGCAGGTGGTTGGGGCAATATCTATGGGCTTTCTCTCAAGCTCAGACTGCCGGCCCTGTAACTGTTTTTGTCTTTGTTTAGCTTGTTTCTTTAAGATCTTTTCCAATTTTATTCTTTCAGAAGATCCGTCTGGGAGAGATGGGAATGCTCCCCGATTAATACGCTTCTTTGATTTTTTCAGGTGCAAAAGTTGACTACTCCCGCCGTCATTTTGACTCTTTGCTAGTTTCTGAAAAATTTTCATTGCTTTCCGCTGCGCTTTTTCTTGAGCCTTACCACCATGGACATTCACTTCCGCCTTGCTCCTCTCCAAGCCGGACAGGCTTGATAAAAAATGCTTTTGTTTCTTACTTTTCTTAGAAGCTTTGGCATTCAACATGACTGGTACCGATGGGTTCGTGTTCTCTTGAGGCATTGCAAACTGGCTCTCTTTTTTTAAGTTTTTACCTATAGCTGTGTTTCGGTTTTCGATATGCTGCTGATCTCTCACATTTAATTTGGATGATGTTGAGTTTAGATATCGATGCTCTTCATTGAGTGAAGTATCCGCTTTAGCTGCAGCTTCCAGCGGAGCGATAACTGGGGAAGGCAGTAGCGGGGCATGTAGCCCTTTATATTTTTCTATCAATATAAAAAAAAAAAAACAAATAAAATAGGCATTAAAATTCAAATGTACAAGTTCCAAAAAGCTTACCAATTATATCGGGTACGAACGCATCTGGGAGCTTTCCTTCAATAGCAGGAGAAATGAAGCCTCCTGTTGTCATTACCACACTACTCATTTCTCGTACAGTCCGTCCACTATCGGGGTCACAGTTATTATTCGACGAAAAATTTATTAGCGTGGACTGCGACTGAGAATCAATTGGTATTGAGGTCCGTTTTTCTACCATACTGATCGAATCAAAATCGAGGTTCGAGCTACTTTCCTTTTCCGTGGCTAATGTCTTTTCATTTTGAAGATCTCGAAGGTCAGGGTCCTGAATAATGTTAGTCGCAGTAGAAGGTGGTTCGCTTGGTTCAGCGTTTGGCTGCATTGGTGGCAAGTACTCAAATATATAGATTGGCCGGGTCAAGGTCTCTGCACTGCCAGGCTTTAGAAAATTCATATTTGAAGCTCGTTTAATGGGAAACGCAGCAACATCGCGCGAAAAAGCCACTGGCTCGACATTTCCAATATAGTCCAAAAGTTCATGAACATTGATGCTGAGACTCTTTAAGGTCAGGCGTGCATCCTTCAGATTTGGCTCAAGCCGATTTGCTAAACCAAAAACAATAATATAAAAACTTATAAAATTTTCAACGAACCGTGTAGCATCATCAATACACTTACCGTGCTCCATTTGACCATGCAAATCGCGTGCGAATTCTTGCATAAATTTTAGCAAAATATCCTGCAACAGTTCCAGTGGTGCACTTAGTGTGGAGCTGTACCCAATTGTTTGGGTTATTTGCGCAATAACAATGCGCATAAGATCCGAAGAGTATTTGTCTGTCATTGCTGCAGTATGTACATATGCATATATATGTATACACCAAATGAGACAAATGGGAATTCAGCTAGGAAAACGGCTCAAACAATCTAAGTATCCGTAAAGAAACTGTGTTTTATTTTAAAGAACACACACTCTGTTTATTTTGTTTCAATTTTAAAATTATTCTATAAAATTTACGGATTAAAAATTGATACATTAAAAACAGTGTGACCGCGGATTTATCGTTAAAATATACCGTCCGTTTCTCAGAAATATACGAAAATATACGTCTCATTTAAAAAATATACCGTAAATATACTGACGAATTCCATTTATATTATACATATGCCCTGCCCACATCATTTTCTACTTGACTGGCTTAATTTAAACACTTTCTTTTATTGTATTTATATATACCGTGGAAAATAAAATTTAATAGATTGTTGAAATTGACAAAATAAACCGATATTGCATTGCCTACGCCGGCGCTACGGTGCGCATGGATCTACAACAAGAATTTACAATAAGTAATATTTTTCCGCCATTTACCCCAAGTCGTTGAACTGTTTAGATAGAGGGGGCTTAAATGGGCTAAGTTCGTGTTTGTCATGGGTATATACACTCCCCGACACTTGAATACGACCACTAATACGACCAGTGATACGACATACTAAAATGTACACTTTAGGCACCAATATTTTCGGGCACAAGCCAAAGAAAACGGTGAATTTGAATTTTCCTCAAATCTCTATTCAATTTAGCATAAATTAAAAAAAAATAATAGCAATATTCATCAAAGTAGATTGAGGAAAAAAATTTAATTGACATAACTCAAATTTCAGCTCCCAAAAAATGCGACATTTGAATACGACATTCACATTGAAAAATTTTTTATTTTGGATGAGGTCGCGACCGGACATTGAATAAATTCTCAAAAATCAATTAGGGTGTCCTTTTCAAAGGACGAAAACTCCACAATAAAAGCCTCGAAGGAAGTAGGTCCATCAATAATGAAAATAAGTGATGAAATTGGTAAAACTAGGTGTGTTCTGAGTGATTTCATAAAGAACGGGTCAAATTATGGCAAAAACATAAAAAACCGAAAATTGCTACTTCCGAGACCTCTATGAGATCTCATCTGCGAGCCGCATCTAAAAAACACGACTAAAACTCGATTTAAAAATCTAAAACTGTCTAAAACCTCAGCCAACGGACGAAAACTTAGAATACTCCCGTACTTTTGCATATTCTTATGGCGTGGAGTAGAGACTGTCGCATTTTCTAAGGAACAAAAATTTAAATTTTAAGGGTCATAAGGGTTTTTTTTTTATACACTATTTATAAGGACTCAAGGAAGTAAAGGAAGTGAGTAGTAAAGAAGAATTATAATTGGATCGTTTTCACAGCAGTGTGAGCGCTATTATTCTGTGGTGAGCAAGATCCTAAAACAGCGTGGACCAGTTGATTTTTCATTAAGTCGAGTTTATCAAATATGCAACAAAGTTGAGGGGTTTTCGGATTTCGGTTATCGGATTTTCTTGTTTTCTTGCCACCACGTCTAGCTCACACACCTCGAAATTTGTATACTTTTCAAAGTTATTTCTAGTATTTTTCACTATATACTATACTCACTATAGACTCACCAAACCGTGTAGAAATGTCACTTGGAGCCAGGTCCCAGACCACATCGAATACTAATTCGTGACCAGAATCGAATTCATGATCGTTTTTCCTCAAAATCTCAATTTTTCAAAAATGTCGGAAAAAAGGCATTTGAAAAAATGGTTAACGGAGGTTTTTCACACTGGCGCTTCCATGGGGTTTATATTGAAAAAAACGGGCAAAAACTTTTGAAACGTACGCATTTCCCTTTCAGTTGTCGCATTTGGTAATTACATGAAAATGTAGTTAATATAAAGCAGGTGTGTAGTTAGCCTGTAGTTACCATGTAATTAAATCAATTTCGTGGAAATTGTTGTTGACCGGTTTTGTTTAAACCTCATTTTATAAACAAAGTTATTCAGTCTTGTAAGAAATTGATGTACTAATCGGATAAATTTATGAGTTTAGACCCCTCAGGTCTTAGTTAGCCAGTTATATTCCTCTGAATATCCAAAACGAGGAATGTGATGCGTCTATATATTTACGGTATATTTTGAAATATGTGACGTATTTAGGTATATTTCTGAGGGTCAGACCGTATATTTTGATAATCCGCGGTCACACTGGTATTTAAATAAATAAAGAAAAAAATGTAAATATAAATAATTTTTAATTTTATGTGATCACAATTCCTTCCGTATTTCTGTTTCTGTACGAACTAGTCTCAGTTTTAAAGCTATCTGGCCATTGTAACTTTCACTCATCCCAGGTAACGTAACAACTATATGTTTGTGCAAATAAAACTCACAAGATTGGGAAAGGGAAAGGGAGGGGAGGGGTCCGTTTCCAACATATTGGAATTTCAAGGGCATATCAAATTCGGTACGGTACGGTCAAGCTAGATAGCTTGTATCACTAACCATACAGTATATACTGTATGGTTAATGCTTGTATCCATGTATTGCCTTTTAGATAGGTGCTGCTAATTTGTTTTTCCTTTTTTAGATACATATTTCTGGCAAACGCCCACTAAATCGGTTCAATCGATTAAAGTTAAGTCATCAAATAAAATATATTATTGAAATAAGTAAATACGTTTAGTGTTTTCCAATCGACAAACACCTTTACTTTAGAGGCGTGGGAGGCGTTTCCGACCCAAAAAAGCACATATATTAGTGTTGGGTAAACATTGCTCATTTTGGTGAACATGTTCACTTGTTCTTTTTTAGTAAGTGAGTCAACTCACTCATATTGCTCATTTGCTCACTTGCTCTCTTAGATTGCTCAGTTACTCACTTGTTCACTTGCTCAGTTGCTCACTTGCTCAGTTGCTCACTTGCTCAGTTGCTGACTTGCTCTCTCAGTTGTTCACTATTCATGCGCAGATGGTTCTAAATTTCACTATACTTTCGAATTAGCGACATAGTGAATTTTTCAAAAGAGTAAATAGCATTGCCGGTAATACAAAAAGTGTGAAGTAAACGCAAATATGAGCAAAGCTGCCAGATCGCAAAATGCCCTTTGAGGAGCAAAATTGCGCAAAAAGTGAGTAGAGAACAAGTGAGTAAAAATGAACAAGTGAACAACAAAGAACAAGTGAGCAAAAAAGAACAAGTGAACAACAAAGAACAAGTGAACAAAAAAGAACAACTTGGAAGGAACATGTTCAGTTGCTCACTTAAGTGAACAACTCTTTTTTGTTCACTCACTCATGAGCAACACAACACTAACATATATTCATTATCAGTAGACCTCGGATTTTGCATATTTGATTCATCAGCATAGTCGTAGGCTCATTATTAATTTTTGTTCAATTGATTTCCTTTGACTATATTTGAAAAGCACTTGGCTGGGGGATCGGAGGTGCTGCGAGTACGAGTCATCAGAATTTTTCTATCTTAATCCTTTAAAAATATGCAAATATGCAAAATCCGAGGTCTAATTATCAGCATAAATAACCGGCTACATACATATCTCTCTGTCCCTCCGTCTTGCTTGACTTTTTCGAGACTGTAAGAGTTAGCAAGCAAACTCTTGTGATATCTCGCTGCTCAAATCTGTGCCATCGAAAATTTTGACGCTAGAATTACCATTTTTTCCAGATTGCAGAATTTATTCATTTTTGCTTAAATAAAAAAAACCTGACTAAAAAATGTTCTGATCGATTTGAAACAACTTTTTATATACAGAGTGATTGGAACGATGACCATATCCGTAACCGGAAACGATGGAATGGAACAAACACACTCAACATTACTCGCGCACAATCCAAATTGTATTATCTGATTATTCCGAAGCAATGCAATGCATATGTACATACATATAATGTTATCGAGATGATAGTTTATTTTGCTTTCACATGATGTTTCCTTTCACAAAATGACATCGGCTAAGAAGTTTCGTATAATTCGGAAAGTATGCCCAACATTGATCACCTATGTGTCAATTTAAACGCCAGATGTAACTGCAATTTAGCTGCCACAGATTCTGGCTACAATAGCGCCAAAATGTATAGGTGGAATCATTCGGGTCGAAAGGAGCCATTGATGCTCCAACCCATTGAGGTCAATAAGGAGTTGAAACAAGGACAACGCAGGGAATTTAAGTCGTTTTCATATCCCGACAAGAGTGTCATCTATGCAAGGAATAGTCGGAAATACTCTGTAGATACTACGGAAAGCACAGACAAAGATTTAACTGATGTTTCAGCTATATATTCAAGAGGACATCCTTCTATTTATCCAGATGCAAAATACAGATTTACGTCGTCGAGTGAACAGAGTAAAAAAATCCAATTAATGAATTCCAGAATTGATGGGGCCAAACAATTTTTTGCGCAGAGTGGCATTTTAGGGACAGCGAACTTCCAAAGTTCTTCTGACTTAATAAGGAAAACTTCAAGCATTCATATAGATGCGACTTTGAAAGACCAGGTGAGTGCAAATCCATTTGAAAATGTTATCGATGACTAGCTTTTTTTACAGATACGAAAAACATCTTTGTGCCTGCGTTCAAGGATTTGCATCGAAAAGAATATACCAAAAAGCTATGATGAACTCATCTATTCACTTCAGAATGAAGTCCTTACATTGAAAGGAACCATCAATCATGGGGAGACCAAAATTATCACACTGAGAACTGAAATTAACAAATTGAAGGCAAGCAATCTGAACAAAGTTTATTAGACATTACTTATACTTAGCACGAATATTTTGAGTATATGTACAATCTGTATATTTAACAAAAGTGTTATTTTTGGAAGGTCTTTCACGCTTTCATCCGAGTACTCAGATGTCGTAAGATTCATATTATTCCGTTGTATTATTTCAGAGAGCCCTCCAAGAGATAATGCACGTCCAGATGGTAGCTAGTAGCAACGCTGGTGATGGCCTGTCGAGTACAACTATTTGCCTTTTTTGCCAACCCAGAAACTGGACGAGCAAGATTTAGAAAAAAGATATATTTGGATAGAATCTTCTGTCATTATGTACAGGCCCTGTCACAGCTGTCATAAAGACAAAAAAACAATTATGATTATTTTTTAATTAATTAATTACACTTTATTGAGGTTATTTTCATCTATTACATTTGAGATAATAACGTAATATTTACAATAAAGAAATTCAGATTTTAATGCATATTGAATAAATTAAATGTAATAAAACAAAGAGAAAAAAAACACAAAAGAAAACTTAATTTCATAGAAAGCACTTTGTATAATGTGTAAGCAAACCTTATCAGCTCAGCTCAATGGTGCTCATCCATTTCACATATCTTTACATACGCTACACACATCACCGAATCAAAATTGCAACGAAAACTGCAGAAGTTTAGTTGAACGTTCTCCCAAAACACACATACATACATACATATAACTAAATAACAAAGTATAAATTAATTCATTAATAACTGAAATTCTCCTAGCACTCATTTTGCTTGCAACTTTATTATAATAATGCATCCTTGACTTGAAACATTCACAATTCAATTTGTAAGTATTAAATACGGAGATAATTAGGTATTGTTTATCGTTTATGGGTATCATTAATTGTGAGTTACAGGAGTACGGGGGTGAGAGTTCTTAGTCGATCAATATACTTTGATTCTATAAATAACGGTGTTAGGCATTTCTTTTAAAGCTTATCTTAATATTTTCATACTATTTTGTTTGGTTAATTTGCCTTGCCCTAGAAGTGGACATGGGAGATATCTTTGTTCTTTCTAGTTCAAGCAAGAAAACTTTAATTAATTGTTTATATATAAAAAAGAAAAAGATTAAAGTTGTCTATGCAGGTCGAACATAATTTTGAAAATATATAGAGGAGCCAATATTTGTGAACGCATTGTCGTCGTGTATAAGTGGACTTGTTAATTCTGTAACAAAAACAAAACAGGTCCTGGATCCAAGATAGTACATAAGAGTATTACTACTGAGAATGTCATTATTCTATGTTATGCCTATAACGACGAAGGCGCGCACTATTTTCTATTTTTGGCTCCCCCGGTGGTGGCGAGATGTTACTCTTCGGTTGTGGATCTGTGGAATTTTCACTCCATGTGATATTGTTAAATTTCGATTCTTCATATTGCTTTGTAATAAAGTGAGCTCCAATAGTTCCAGTTTTATCTTCACTGAGATCAGTTGATTGATCATCAAAATTTCCTAACATTGTAGTAGGTATGCCACGAGTTCTTAAATGTTACATATGACAATTATTATGAAATGCAATTTAAATTAACCAAAACCTACCGACTGGAGGTGCGGGACCGAGGACGTTGAAATCTTAGCTGTAATTGTGTTGGGTCGGTTATATACTTTCCTTCAGCGGATTCTCGTCTACGTCGTAATCCTAAATGAGATGGTTGGAATCAAATCACATACACATTTGAAAATACAATAGAATTCTCCTTTCAATATAAGGTACATAACTGTCACGGCAAATATCATGATAACTCTTGTAATAGTAACCTTTATTATGTCAAAAGGGAATAAGCAGTGGAACAAAACTAATATAATACTCGTACCAGAATATTATACTCATCAAAAAAAATTCAATCGAATCCTGAAACAAGTTAGGACACAGAAAGTACATGCAACGTGCAGCGAATATTTTCATTTATCAATTACTTTGTTGGCAAAGCCCACTTTATAAAGGGAACAAACCTGGTGTTAGGTCCGTATTATTGGGAGGATTTTGTAAAACACCAGAGTATATGTCGTGACGAAGAGGAATAGCGTCCATCATACAACTGGTCAAGTCAAATGGCGAATTGTTTTGGATAAGATGCTGTCCTCCGATAGACCCGATTGTGGTTGATGCATTTGTGGTAGTATCAGTACCCGCCCATGAAGCACATTTTGATTGGCGCACTGGTATTTTGCTGGGTGCCAAGAGCGGTAGTTCACAGTTACCTTCGGATCCGCCGTAGGCGCAGCTCACCCGTGATATTTGAGTATCTAAATCACCTGTTTTTGTCAAAGCCTGCTCCTTTGTATTGAATATTTCGCTGTTTCCATTCAGCTTGGGCTTGATGGAATCGACCACATGGGAGCTGAAGCAGCTTGGCTCGTTGGGTGCTTCAGCAGTGGCTTTGTTGACTGGTACTTTAAAATTATTGATTGTATTCGGAGAGGAAGCTTTCATTGCTGCTGCTGCTGCTGTTGTTTTTATTTCATCACAGTTAGTTAGCACCTTATCACTAGAATCTTGGCCTTGAGTTTTATCAGCAATGCCTTGGCTAGTTGTACTTGAAGTCATCTTAACAGCAGCTGCCAATGCATCATAGTAGACAGATTCATCCAAATTAGAGATTTCTAAAAATACAAACGTATTTTAACATCACGTACAAATTGATATAACTAACATTGAGTTGGTGCGATTGGATTACATCCCTGGATAGCAAGAAATTTACTTTATTTGCCTACCTTTGGGAATGACACGAATTTTCAGACGCCCACTAACACAACCATTGTTCTCCTGGATTTCTTCACTCTCAGGCAAATTACTCTTCTGGCAAGATGTGGTTTGTACGCACCAGGGCTTGGCCGCGTCATTCACCACCAAAGAACTATAATTTGGTTGAGCCTGTTGGTCGTCAAAAATGTCGGCCAATGACACATTCGGAAGGCTGTTTCGATGTTTGGACTTGGTTTGGCTCTCATTTGATTTATTTGACTGAAAAGCAACATGATCATCTTGAAATGATGACGGCAGTACAGTTTGTGATAAGATAGATACAGAAGGCTTTGGTTGTCCCAGCGGAGTGATTTCCGAGTATGATTCTCGCACACAAACATTCCTGGCTATATCCATGCGATATACCTACAAATTGAAGAGAGGGTCCAATGAAAAATGCTGAAATTCTCGATGTTGGGATGTTCAAGGCTGTTTTTTCCTCAACACTCCTAACTCAACCTTACAAAGTTCAAATATATCAAGAGCATGTAGTACTTCCATTGAATATTGGTGCCATTGACATTGGGGAACAGCAAAAATAATTGAAATATCGTACACATAAACACACACGAGTGTGATAAGATGCTTAAAATGTCTTCCGGAACGTGAATATGTATGTACTAATATTAGTTTGTTGCATGCTCTTAATCGGTATGGAAATAATTAACTTATTCTAGTTAAGTAAGTAGGCAAAGACGTAAGATTTATAAGATATGCTTACTGTATTATCAAAAGCGGCTTGTTGCACAGCCGGTGGCTCTAAGTCTTTTCGTAATACATTACCCATTGCAGGGTCAGACCAGCAGTGCGGTAAAGAGATTTTCAACGTGTCGTAGTTTTCGATCCCGGCTATGTTGAGTGTGTATCTATGGTAGGGGAAATCAATATACGCACAAATTGTACACAAAACAAATAACAAAATAATTCAATATTTTACTAAATTCATATACATATTTATAACCGCTACACGGTATATTAGTATTCATTTGGATGTACACGATCACTCATGTAATTTGCAAATGAAAGCATTTCCTATGCATGACCTATGCGAAGTTTTTACCACAGCCTAATTCGATCTGGATATTAGAATGTAAAGATAAATATAAATGTGCGAAATGATTGATGATAAAATATCGAAAATATATAGAAGGTTACACATTCTTTGCCTCGTCCACCGCTCCTTTAATCTAAACATTTATGATTTTCAGAATATGTTGTTAAGCATTAAACAATTTTTGGTAAAAATCCAAATATTGTACATTTTGCAGATCCTGTTAACTCTCATCTGGAGATGAATTTGCAACTGATATACAATTTATGACACTTTATTTCTACGAACAAGCAAGGTAGAGTAGGATGCACAGACGGATTCGGCTTGCTTTTCTGCTGGAAAACATATTTCATTTGTGGGATGAACATACTTACATGTATAAAAATTGGGTCACATTTAAGACATCCTCACCAAAGGTTATAAATATGTATGTATAGATTAGCCATCAGTTCAAAACTTACCTTTTCGGCCTGGATTTTCCGTCTTGGGGCGTTTGGGTTTTTGTTGTCTTGGTTGTATCAGCGACGGCAGTGAGGGAAAAGATTGCAGCTTCATTTAACAGAGGCAATGAAACATCCCCCTTAATCAATTGATCCAAATTGGGTTGCGACTGTGAGGTGAAATGTAGTTTGTATATTTTACATGTTTATCTTAGGAAAATACTAAATTTTGCAAAAAAAAAAAAAAAAAAAAAAAACAGCAACATTGAACATGGGATATCGGATGCACACAATTATAATATCTTACAAAAAGTACATATATTAATAGTAGGTGATTTGGAACAGTTAAGCATTGTTGCTGTTACAGGAAGACATTTTAAGCATTTATCGTTAGTTGAAACGCGACCTGACTTGGTCAACTAGAATTCCCATCTTTTCATAATTAGTTTGCATTCTAATTTACCTGTGGCTCTCGGTTCCATTCGTTATCGGTCGTGTCCTCAGAGTCATCAAACTGACTTTTCCACTGGGAAGCAAGAGTGAGAGCTCCGCCCCTTGTTACCTGTTGTAATGCGGACACATTTTCATCGTCTATCAATGCAAATTGAGTGACTGAATGGTCGCCGGTAACACTGCTTCTGGCTGTATTGTTGCCAGTGACTGACTGACCAGCTGCGCCTGCTGATGCGCTATTGATACGTTGAATGGAATTGGAACCAGCACCCGAGGAAGACGGTCGTAAATTGGTGGATGTTGCTGAGCGACGATTGACTGGCGGTATGCCAACCATTCCAAATACCTGACCGCGCTGGCATATGGCAACTTTTGAAGCAGAACTCCCTCCTCCTCCGCAGAAAGCCAGAGCATCCTGGTCATATGTAGCTGAAAGTTCATCTCCATGCTGGCTTTGAGCCCCACCAACGGTTAGATCATGTACGCTCATGGGTGGGGCTGTAAGTACACGAAGGCGCCCATAGGTTGATTTTTGATCATCCATGGACCGCTTACTGTCGCTGCATTTTTCTGACACTAACGCATCCATTTTCTGGTGTTGTTTATCAGTATTTCCAGTTGGATTTGATTTTTTCGTTTGCGGTTGCTGGTGCTGCTCTCCTCCGGATTGCGGTGTTCTATTGACACCCTCAATAAT